TGTTTTCATTGGGCCGTAAACATCCGTATGAATGAGCTGAAGTTTCTGGTTAGCTTTCCATACTTGATTTGCTTGAAATGGCAATTTTGTTTGCTTTCCCTGTTGGCAAGTTTCACAAACTTGAGCATTAGAAAGAAATTCAGGCATATTTTCCACTAGCTCCTTCTTTTTCATCTCTGCGATGCTTCTCAGATTGAAGTTGACCAAACCTTTTGTGCCATAGGTTTGTACATGTTTGTGAAGTAATAGTGTAAGCCTGCTCAGTTATTTTCTCCCAATCAACTGAAAAAACACAAAATAATTCTACTCCAGAAGGGTCAGAAACAACACATTCACGATTCTTAAAATGCAGAGAATAATTATTTTCAAGCATTTGTCCAACACTCAACAAATTTTGACTCATATCAGGTGTGTACAAAACATCAGGATAGACACTGTACCTCTGCCTTTGACTTCTACTGCCTCACCGTTTCCCACTTTTACTTTAGATTTGTAAGTATCATCGAGGAATTTGAACATTTCAGCATCATTGCACAAGTGATGTGTGCAACCACTATCAAGAAGCCATGAATCAGAGGATTCATTGATTGAAAAGTATGAAACCGCAAAGAGTTGCTCCTCATGTGCATCCGCAGCTTCTGCTACTTGTGCTTGCAAAGAACCAGAGGCCTTTGCTCTTGATTTGCAGACCTTGGATATGTGCCCCATCTGCTTACAGTTGCCCCATATAGCATCGAATCTCATCCAACAGTACTTCTCCAGATGTGTAGTTCTTTTACAATGTTTGCACGGAGGGAACTTCTTCTTAACATCTCCACTATTGTTTCCTCCATCATGCTTGCCCTTATTATTTTGGTTGACCTGTTGCTTTCCTTTACCAAATATTTGTTTTTGTACAGAGAAAGCTCCTTCAGTGAACTTGTCCCGTCTCATAGTCCTCCTTTGCTCTTGGGCTTGAAGAGCACTCATTAGTTCACCTAATGAAAGTTTGCCCAGGTCCTTGGATTCTTCAAGAGAGGAAATCTTAGATTCAAACCTCTCAGGAAGAGTCACAAGAACTTTCTCCACAATTCGTTTGTCTGTAAATTCTTCACCAAGAAGTCTAATGTTATTAACAATTAAGGAGATTCGATCAGCATACTTACTGATTGTTTCATCGTCCTGCATATTCAAGCACTCGAACTCTCTTTTCAGGTTCAACACTTGCATTTGACGTGTTCTATCGCTGCCTTGATATTCTTCTTTCAACCTATCCCAAGCCTCTTTTGCTGTTTTGCAAGCCATGATTCTGTAAAACACAGAATCTGCCA